GTAGGAACAAAGCATGAAACATAGATTATCATATAAATTTAGCTATAATATAAACAAATACATACGACATCAATATGTATGGCGCGCAACGGAACAGACTCGTAGGGTGAGATTACACTCTCGCCGGAGCAAACCGGACCGGCCGTGACGCACCGGTTGACTCATGAGATGATGGTAGTCAATTGAAAAGCTGGACAAACCTCTCAGTCGGCGGCATGACTCGGCAATGACAGCACGAGTGGCGCGAGATATAGGCTGAAGCGATTAGGTCCTCGCAACAGCCTTAATAAAATCTCCTCTGCATCCTAAGTTTGCCTGAAAGAGTTTGCTATATTGTTCTTTATAATGCTGATTTTCTTATTCCTGTATTATATATTTCATTCTTTATTTTTTCCTAAAAGTACAAAACTGAAATCAATTGTATCAAAATTACAATAAATTGAAAAAGATTTTTTTATATTTTTTTTATACGACTTAGAATGACAAACAAGCTGACGGCCCACCTGATGGAAAGTGGTAACCGTCGCCTATAGACATGAGCAATACCATGGACATAACAGAGTATACTGATCGCCCATGATACCCCCCATGCGTTGCCATTCCTGAGGACTCAGGTGTTATTCCTCTGTACCCAGTAAATTCACGCCATATCCCTTCAAACTGAAAACAGATATCACGTGACGTACTATATAGTCAAGATAATTAAATTGAAAATCTCATTTCTAGAATTTGGAAACACATGGTCCAGCCATATAGTTTGTAGATAATTTAGGTGGAAGTCAAGTAACTTCAACTCTAGGGTCCGGTAGTCAAATGGATCTTAACTTATTCTGTACCCTAACTGTAACTGAAACTGACGAAGTTTAGGGGTAATAAATATGCATCGTAGAGATCATCACTCATAGTTTTTATAAACCATAACAGTGAAAGCGAAAGAAAGTAATTTATTTTTATTCCCTCTATAACTTCATAATTAGGTACATTATACATAATAATGTCTTTTAAATTATGAAAAACAAAAAATCTGTCAATTTTTATACATCATCATCCATATCAGCCTTTAACTGTCCACTGCTGGACATAGGCCTCTCCCATAAAAAAGGTTTTGCCAGTAGTTGCTACGTTTGGCAGACGGATTGGTAACCGTAATTACAATTTTAATACGATTATTGAAAATTCATATTTCATTATTTAGACCGTCAATAACATAGTGCATTCTGCAACATTATAAGTGAAATTCACTTTATATGTAAAATTAATACACAATTATATCAAAAATATTATATCCGTCACAGTTTATAATTTGGACCCGCGTATAACAAAGTCACGCATCGGTATTGAAAGTTAAATTGCTTGAATAAAAGTGCATCAGAGGTTACACTCGCGTCCCGCCGCCGCGCTCTAGCGCTCGGCCCGCGAGCGGCCGACTCACTTGTCCGCTCTAATCATTCAGCTGTCAATTGCGTATCCAGACTGATTCCATATCATCTCGTCGGCATTTTTAAACTCCTTCCAGGGTGGTTAAAACTCGTTTTACACAATTCATAATACGATTTTCATTTCTCTTAGTATAAATCTATACATACATACATACACATCTGTCACGCCTGTCTCCCATTAGGGTAGGCAGAAACAATGGAACGCCAAATGCTTCGATTCAAACAAACCTTTTTCGCTTCTTCCACATTCATCAATCTTTTCACACACGCTCGCCGGTTACTTTTAATTTGGCCCTTCTTCAGCACGTCGCCTATTTGCTCAACATACGTCCGTCTAGAGCGGCCCCTACCGACATCTCCATTCATTCTTACTCGATAAATCTCTTTCGTAATTCTTCTTTCATCCGTCCTCTCCAAATGACCAAACCAATACAACCTTCTTTTTTCGATTTTTGTCACTACATCGTCTTTCAGTCCACACTTCTCTCTAATCACACTGTTAAAATAAAAATAAAAAAAAAATATAAATAAAACAAATATATATGTAATATAATAGAATATATATATTTTATTAATTATGAATCTGTAATAATAATAATTATAAATGCCATACTAGAACGAGTACAGTCGCCTGTATTTTTGGTCAGTATTTTACTAGATTAGGTGTTATTTTGTGGAAATCACTCAGTGGTTCATCATTATTATATATTTGGTATCAGCCTTTAACTGTCCACTGCTGAACATAAGCCTCCCCTTGGGGGGTTTTATCAGTAGTTTCCACGCAAGCGGACTGGCAACCGCAGGTAGGCTTTGGAGATGTTTTAAGAGGGACGCTGTTTCCCATCCCTCGCCCTCCCTTAGTCGCCTCTTACGATACCCACGGGAAAGGAAGGTGTTGCCTATTCTATGCCGGGACCACATGGCAAATATATCGCTGGCTGTTTAATTATAATTATTTTGTTTAACTCCGCTACCATTAGTATGTGTGCGACTAACATTGCCTTCTTATATATTATTATTATTATGGTGGTTGAAACGATGAAGATAATAATATTATTATTACCAGAAGTTCTACAACCTTCCATATTTAGCCATCAATCTCCGACTACTGTTTCGTCCACCCACGTTTCGCGACACGTTTTTCATGTTTAAACGAGGCATGTTCGGACAAATTAATGAATCGATGTTAAGAGCCTAGTGTTAACTAGTTCGATATGGGGGGGGGATTGGGATTGTTAGTAATGGAGACTAAGAATCCCATTGCTAGCAATATACCCAACCAGGTCAACCTCCTCGCAGTTCCCCCTGGAAACTGTCATGGTTAATTCCTGATGAATTCATCATGATGAGCTAACTGGCCTGTATTCATTCTCATCTATCACCCTTCACTGGTGCACCGCCAGCGTATCCCGTTAGCGCAGGCGGGGTTACCATTCCATTTTCATCCAATAAAAAAAAACCCGATAATAATTTGAATTTGGCAACATTTACAGTTTGGATTTACCCGACACAATTTAAAAAGGTTTCATGATTGTTACCTAATTACGTACATGTATATAACATTATTTTAAATTATGACCTAATTTCTTTATAATCTGCTGATCAAATTGCCCCTTGATTACGTATTTCGCAACCAGTTTGCAATAAGCACTTTTCATTTTTTACATATTGTATTACCTGTATTACTTGTGTACTTAAAAGCTGTTTGCGAGCGAACGTTGATGCTACCACTGCGGAGTGATTTAGGAACTAAAATAACTTTTATAAATTAGTTCCATCTATTGCCACTAGACCGCTAATGGCGCTGTTATTCATAGAGTAAAAGTGCATTTGTTATGTCTAGCGATTAGAAAGCAAATGTCCGCGAAGTGTTTACTATTATGGGGAATAAGCCTACAGAAGGATAACGTTCCCAACTCGTTTGTGTTTTTGTATGTTACATGATATTTTCGCCAATTTTGTTTTTTTTTATATTATTAATTATTACTTTTTATAATTAATGGGATTTACTCGTACATGTAGAGCTTCATATTGATTTTATTTATTTATTTATTTAGTAGCTATATACCGTGACTCCGTCCGCGTGAATGAATGCATAAATTATACTATATGCTAAGGTAGAATAAAATCTACTATTATACCAAATTTCACTAAAATCCATCCAATAGTTTTTGCGTTAAAGAGTAACAAACATCCACCGATTCACTGTTACAGATTTTCGCATTTATTACATTTTCTTTTATTATATTAATATGATTGCAGTCATATAAGTAACATTAAGTCTATAGCAGCCGCAGTATTTTTTTAAACAACTTATAATGGCAAACAAGCTGATGGCCCACCTGATGGAAAGTGGTAACAGATGTGAACCGTCGCCTATAGACATGAGCAGTACCATGGACATAACAGAGGTCCACCATGAACAACTGCTTCACGGTTGAAACACGAATGGGACAGAGGTACCCAAGCAATCGACTTTTGTACAAAGTCTCCCTCTGGTAGTATTTCTTTGCAGAATAAAATATTACATAAAAATTATAATTAATTAAATATTCCATTAAAACTTCTTTTAAAAAGTTTTAATGGAACTATATAAATCACAAAGTCTTCATCATTTATCACCTCATCACAGTCCATCACTCTGTAATACTAGTAACGCTCAAAGAATTTCCAATTATATATGTAAACGATAGGACGCAATCAGAAAATAAAATGTAAAGGTACATGTAACGTATGAGTCAGTAACGAGCAGTATGCGGGTACAAATAAGGAAGGATTCATTAGAAACAAAGGTCCTAAGCTGATTTCTCATAGAGTGACGTAATCAGATGTAAATGCTAAGATAAAATTATTACTTGACTTCAACTTTTTTATACTACTAAGGTGGCAAACAAGTGCTGGTGGTGTGGGCAGTCCTTATAGAAGTCTATGGGGGAGGCGTATGTTCAACAACGGACCGATAGTGGCTGATATGATGATGACGATGATGATGGGAATCAAGCAACTGACTTAAATATTGTTCAAATACATTTTTACCAAACTGATCCTAGAATAAGGATAAGCTAGCTGAAGTGGCAATGGGCTGGTCACAAGCTTGAAGAACCGGGAACAGATGGGGAAGAAAGGTTCTTGAGTGGCGACTTCGTACGGGCAAACGCAGTATAGAATGACCTCCCACTAGATGTAGTGACGAACTGAAATGCAATGCAGAGTCAGTGGATGAGGTGGCTCAGAACCGTTCTTTATGGCAGTCTATAGGGGAGGCTTATGTCCAGCAGTGGACGGATAACGGCTGAAAAATAATGATAATGAATCTGACCCTAATGACGATAGTAGGTCCGCCCTTTGCCACGATGGATTCTAATATGCTCAGTGAAATGTGGGCAAATGCCAATATCTACCGCATTAGAGATTATAGTCGTGAGCATATATATTTTTATTTTCAATATACATGATGTGTCAAATCATGATGCTACTAATTAATTACAGTTCATAATTACTTTCGAAATGTTCATATTTTGAAGTAAATAATTTTCTTAATATTTATTATTATTGTTTCAGGTATTAAATCATAAATCCAGACAGTACTTGTCATCAATATGAACGAGTTCAGTACCAGGTCAGCTCGACCCGATATTAATTGGTGAAATACATACAATAATTCTGTACAAACTGAAATCATTATTATCATTCTAAAAGAAGGTTCTACCGATGATATAAAACGTTTTCCCGAATAAATAGAAGTCGAAAATAATGATTTCACTTCTATAGCTATTCACACTACTACACTAATAGATAACGTAAAAGATGTAAAAATATAGAATAATACAAAGCAATTGAAATACATAAAAGCCGAGACATTGCCACTTAACTGCTTGACTAGTATGGTAATATTAGGCTAATATATTCCTGCTATATGGAGAGACCCGTAGTCAACGATAACGAATAATTAACACCCGTTGATGACATGTTTGATGATTATAAGTTACATAAAATTTTACAATCGCTTTCAACTGCAGAACTATATATACTGTGACAAATAAAAGTACACATGCTCCTCACTATGTAAACAAATAACATATCTAAAATATTTTGAGACAAACCTTCTTGGATTATTATAAGCTACATGAGATAGCTTGGATATTTTAAAATAGTTCTATATCATATTATTTAGTAACTTGCACGTTTTGAGACCAAACCCAATTAGAGTAACGAAACAGCTTCAAGTACATTGTCAATATGCCCTTTAACTGTCCCCAAATCTGCGTCCAAATATTGACCGAATTGGTCCAGCAAGTTTGCCGTCTTGCCCCAATTCGTGCAAATTGTCACTGTGCAAATTTACCAAGCTCAAAGGCAACTAGGTTACGAACAAAATAGGTCACTGTGTTGGCAGACTTATGGAAATTACATGCGCGCTTATTGCTTTCCGTTGTAATTAATATTTTATGGTGTATTCAGCTTTATGCTATCATATTAGCATAAAATCGCGGTAGCTACATCATCCATCATGACTATTTGTCACTCTGAATGTTCTGCCTCGATTTCAAACTGCTTTCTGTACTAATATCCTTGCTAGTGTTATAAATATTAAACTGAGTTTGTTTGTTATCTCATGGTTTTATTATTGCTCAACCAATCGTTTGAAAATTAGGAAGGCTTGGGTTCGAATTTGGGAATGAAAAAACTATGTTTATTACAGTAAATTGTAAACAGTTATAACTGAATAATTCTTATTAAACTTACAAATAAATTGTGTTTATATAAACCAACTTCACTTATTTTCAAAATCGGTTTTAAAATTTTAGTTATAAAGTGTCATATATAAAAAAATATTGCCGAATTGTGAATCTGCTTTTTTGAAAAGAGAAGGCTCCGAATTTGTCTTTTTGGGGCATGTTACGAAATGTCTTTATCAATTCTAATTCGATTTTGATAATTGTTTTTATATTCAAAAGTATTTAGTCCCTTGTTAATTTTTTACCCAGTTAATTTGATTTTCTCAGGGGCGAAATCATAAATTATGATCAAAAGGGGCTCTATTTACTCCCTCATTAGTCCCTCACTAATTTGATGGAACAAGTTTGAAGTTAGTTTTTGAGTAACAAATTCTTAAAGTGTAATAAACGTACCTGAAATAAATATCTCTAACGTTTTAATAATGCAGTTTCACACGACTGCTGACTATATCGAGTACAATATAGCAATCAGAAAAGTAATAAACTAAATCACTGCACCGTCGCCACGGGGGGGCGACAGGACCGACAGGATGGTACGGGTCGGGTCGAATGTCACGGTAAAATAACCGCTCGAATCATTTTTTTTTAGAACACAGGGGGCAAACGAGCATGCGGCTCACCTGATGGTAAGTAACTACCGCCGTCCAAGATCACCCACAACACCAAAGGCAATGCAGGTGTGGTGCCGGCCTTTTAAAAAGGAATATACTCTTTTCTTGAAGGTTATGATGTCGTATCGGTTCGGAAATACTGCTACTGGAAGTTGATTCCAAAGAGTAGTTTTGCGTGGAAGAAAGTGCCTTGAAAAAATGGTTGGTCCAGATGGTTGGGATGTAACTTTAGATTTAACAGCAAGTTTTAAGTTTAGCAGGTAATTGGTATGATTAAATTTTAAACGTATGGGAATTTATTTATTAAGACTTACAGTGGTGTTTCTCACCAGTTCTTCTTGGAAGAATCTATTTTCTGAACTAGTTGTAATTTTGTTAATATCATAAGTGTTTGTAAAATAAAAGGTATTCTGAAAAGGAATAATATTATATTACAATATTATATAGGAATAATTCGAAAATTTTCAAATTTTTCCCTTATTAGAAAGTCAGAATGGTTGTATTTTGGTGTGAAAAATGGGCAAGTGCAATCACGGGGCGAGAAAGTGTAACACCTTCTTTTCTAAAGAATATAAGCAAAAAATGTTAATGATCACCTATTGATATGAACAATGAACAATTAATATTACAAATTTAGAAGTTTATAAAGATGTGTGGGTAGTTAATAAAGCTTAAACGACCGAGCGGATTTGAATGAACTTTAGTACAAAAATTGACCATGTCTTGGAATACTTTTAATCTTAATTCTTGCAAGTAAAGCCGCAGAATATAGCTAATTTGACATGACTACCATGCCAGTCATGCCAACTCTCGTACCTTGTCGTACTAACCTATTTAATTCTTATACGCGTTAGTCCTATACCAGAGGGAGACTTTGTACAAAAGTCGATTGCTTGGGTACCTCTGTCCCATTCGTGTTTCAACCGTGAAGCAGTTGTGTTTGCATGGCTGTGTTTCGGTTTGAAGGGTGGGATATGGCGTGAATTTACTGGGTACAGAGGAATAACACCTGAGTCCTCAGGAATGGCAACGCATGGGGGGTATCATGGGCGAAACAGTATACTCTGTTATGTCCATGGTACTGCTCATGTCTATAGGCGACGGTTACCACTTTCCATCAGGTGGGCCGTCAGCTTGTTTGCCATTCTAAGTTCTATAAAAAAAAAAAAAAAAAAAAAAAAAAAAAAAAAAAAAAAAAAAAAAAAATCCTAACACGAATTGAATTAATCCAAGCTAATCCTGTGTTTTTCCATTACCCTGAAGCTTAGCGATAAAACAAGTGATGACGTTTTAGCACCACTGTTTGCCGACGTCCCATGGCGCGCCATAAACCTACAGTATGACGTCAGCACACGCCATACAGATTACTGGAAGAGCCTTCATTAAGCCTAAATGTAGGATAGGTCGTATGTTTAATTAATTACACACAATTCAAATATATTCTCCCTATCGGTTGTTGGTTCTTTGAGCTATTTGTGCTTTGAGCTTGCTTATCCTTTGAGCTGTATCGATAATTAGTTCTTCTGCGGCATATCTTCGTTTCGGAATCTATCACGTAGTAGAACTCCGAGGATATAGCCTTCTCTAAAGCTTGCTGAGTAACTTGGAGTGCACGGTTAGCAGTGTACAGCCAGGATCATGTTTCAGGTCTTAAATCATCACTGTTATGAAGAGTTTTGTTTTCAAACACCACTCTATGGCATAGCAGATTTTCTAAAGAATTAGTTGGCGATGAACTCCTCTAACCTGACTACATCGTTTCGGGGGGAAAGGGATTATTAGCAATAAAGTTTGACAGCCCCATTGCTAGCAATATGCCCCCTGGAAGCCATCGTGAACAATTATTGTTGAATTCATCACGATGGGCTAACTGACCTGCTTCATCCTCATCTATCATAACTCGCTGGTGCCCCGCCGGTGTATACCGATAGCGCGGGTATACCATTACATTATCACCCATTAAAAAAAGACTATCGTTTCATCCTTCATTGCTGCCCCGCCGTCAACATCATTTTTTTAATAGATGATAATGAATTAGTAACCCCGTCTGCGCTAACGGTATATGCTGGCGGGGCACCAGTAAGGTACGATAGGTGAGAAAGATGAGGTAATTTAGTTAGCCCATCGTGATGAACATACCTGGAATTCAGCACGATGGTTTCCAGGGAGAATCATGTGGAATTCGACCTGATAACGTATATTGCAAGCAATAGGCCTGGTAGTCCGCATTAATAACAACCCCTTCCCCTTATTCAACATTATAAATCATTTCAAACACTGACAACAGAGACAGAGGGCGGGAACCATAGTAGTACATAAAATGGCAAACAAGCTGACGGCCCACCTGATGGAAAGTGGTAACCGTCGCCTATAGACACGAGCAGTACCATGGACATAACAGAGAATACTGTTTCGCCCATGATACCCCCCATGCGTTGCCATTCCTGAAAACTCAAGTGTTCTTCCTCTGTACCCAGTAAATTCACGCCATATCCCACCCTTTAAACCGAAACACAGCCATGCAAACACAACTGCTTCACGATAGAAACACGAATAGGACAGAGCTACCCAAGCAAACAACTTTAGTATAAAATCTTTCTATGGTCTCTCTCTTTCGTCGGTGTCTCGGTCGTCTTATCTCGATCATATCAGCTTTCAAACAAAAAAAGAATTGTATAAAAATGCATCCGTCTCAAAACTATGACATTACAGACAGACACACAAATGGAAACATTCAACTTATAAGACCTTTCCTTTTGTGGGAGTTAATAAAACAAAAACATTTGAAAATTAATATAATGGCTTTTCCATGATTCGTTATATTTCTACGGACGAGACAGCTCTAGGCAAATGGTTAGGTCACAAATTCCCCACAGAGAGCCTAAGTGGCGACACTTGTATAGAACTAGGTCACCCCTAACGATCATAAACCTATTTACTCTTATATTACTCGGCTACTGACGTCACGTACAGAAAGAGAAACCTGCATATATGAAGATATCTGGGGGGAAAGGGATTGTTAGTAATGGAGACTAAGAATCCCATTGCTAGCAATATACCCTATCAGGTCGACCTCCTCGCGGTTCTCCCTGGAAACTATCATGGTTAATTCCTGATGAATTCATCATGATGGGCTAACGGGCCTGTTTTCATTCTCATCTCCCTTTACTTCTCTTCTATTCTCATTTCCCTTTACTGGTGCTCCGCCAGCGTATTCCGTTAGCGCAGGCGGGGTTACCATACCATATTTATCCAAAAAAAAAAAATACAATGTTAATAATCATTTGCATGGGCACCTCTCTCCCACTCGTGTTTCTATCACAAAGCAGCTGGTTTAATTTTATGTGAGAGGCCAATGAGCTGTGGCCTACCTTCTTTATCGTCATCATTATATCAGACCTTAACTGTCTACTGCTGATTGTGAGTAATGAGATTTATCAGCCCCATTGTTTGCAATATACCCTATCAGATCGACCTCCACACGGTTCCCCCTGGAAACCATAGTCGTTAATTCTTGTTCAAATGGTAACTAGGGGCCAACTAACCTATATTCATCCTCTCATGTCACCCTTCACTGGTGCCCCGCCAGCGTATACCGCTAGCGCAGGCGAGGGTACCATTCCATCTTCACCTATTAGAAAAAAAACTGTCCACTGCTGAACATAGGCCTCCTCTTATTAGGGAGATTCGCAAGTAGTTGCAATATTTGGCAGGGGGGTTGGCAAATACAGGTAGGCTTGTGATGTTTTAAGAGGGACACTACTGCTCATTCCTCGACCATTAATTTCCTAAGTCTAACTGCGGTTGCCAATCCGCTTGCCAAGCGTGGCAACTACTGACAAAAACTCTCAAGGGGAAGGCTTATGTTTAGCTATGGACAATTAAATATGATGTTCTTATCACAACATGTAATGCCCATTCCCATAAAAAACCTATTAACTTTTTCCAAAATTCATCCTAAAATAATTGAATTTGTTTTACAATGAATACGTATTTTCTGTATTGTTATAGTTTACTAGCTGTTTCCCGTGATTTCGTCCGTGTTTCCCTCGATTTCGGTTCGGACGGTTCAGTGGTTTTGATGTAACAGACACATTTCCCTTCACTGCTCTACTCCTATTGATCGTAGCGTGATGAAAAGTATATACTATAACCTGCCCAGGAATATGAAGAATAATTGTACCAAGTTTCGTTAAAATCCGTCGAGTAGTTTTTGTTTCTATAACGAACATGCAGACAGACAGACAAAAATTTTACTGAT